AAATTTCCAATTGAGAAAGTTCGTGAAAAGGACTGCGAAATTTGAATATGAATATGCGTCAATTTGGAATTTAAAGATTCGAATTCAATCTGGAACGGGCACAAAATCAGAATGAAACTCAGACAAGTTGTATAATTTGACAAAATATCTAAAATTCAATAATTACATCTTATTTTTGATATGAAGCCCAAGTAGTAGTTCCGGTCCCAGGGGTTGGATTCTTATTCTATAAAAAGGTGAGCTGGAAACTTTTATAAAGAAAAGAAATGTCAAATGAAAAATGTTATTAAGAAAATATTTTCACAGAACAAAAATCCAGCCCCTAGGACTTGAACTATTACTTGGGTTTCATATCTAAAAATCACGCCACCATATTTGAAGAAAAAGAAAACAGTGAGGAAACCAATGCATATTATTTAAAATATTTTGAAACTTTAGAGAGCCAAGAACACTCAGAATAGGCCTCTTGTGTACTGTAGGCTGACATATTTCGTTGGACTTTCTGCAATCTATACTAACACACGCTTAAGGCAATCGACTGAACTTTAAATCAAAACTCAAACAGAGACCGTAGGGGTGTGAAAGAAAAAGGGGCTTATGGACCATTAAAAATATGCTCTAATTTACACCGGCATCTTCATTCCACGTGTACGAAGATACGTCATTTATTTGACGTATAAGCAATGGAATTGAAAATCTAAAAAAAAACGCGTTTTATTGAAACCTGTCGGTATAAATACGTACTTGCGATAAGTACGAATTTGTTTTAAAATTTACGACTTTGATTTCAATTTGGCGTAAGGACTTCGAAATTTTTGAAAAGTTTTTCCAAAAGTAAAGGATCGATAAGAACTGACATGGCCAAGGGCTGAGGTATGTCATGATTTTCGGAACTTCATACTTAAGGAGTAGAACAAATAAAAACAACGACATTTTTTATACCCTCAACCATATGTTAAATTAGGTATGAGAATCAATGTTTGAAAGTAAGTTTGATGTATGAAGGTAGTTTTGGAAATGTGTACTATGTGTGCGAACTGTACTAAATGGTATAAAATTTGAAACAGTTTGGTGCTTGAAATCTGAAATTTGAAGTTACGGTCGCTATTCATGTGTAGCCTGAGAAAAGTTCTAAATGGTACCACATTGGGTATTGGGTGAAGGAGTAGAGTTGGTGAAATAATAGAGCTGAAATTCTGGAATTTGATAATGATGTCACTATTGGTTTCTAGGGTTTACATAAGACTTACAAAATAATATTACCATCATTATAAGGCTCCAAATTCGAGTTCTTTAATCGAAATACAAATTTCTGATACTATCGAATCTATTTTTATACCCTACACAACCCTGTGGTACAGGGAACTATGACTTTGTAAATGTGTATATAACATGCAGTAGGAAACAAGATAGACCATAGGTAATTGAAATTGGTGATGCGGCCAAAACGTGCCTTGTCGAAATAACGGTTTTAGGACCTAGGTCTCTTTGGGCCAAATCCGTTTCAAGTCATTTGGAATCAATCTAGGGGGTCCGTCCGTTTGTCTGTTTGACCGTCTGGTGTGCACGATAACTGCCGAAGGGAGTATCCGATTTGGTCCAAACTTGGTACATCGAAATATTACTGTCAAACTGTAATCGGTCGGTTTCTGGTACCTCCCCCGCAATAGGTCAACATTTTCAAAGAAAATAATTTACCTCATAGTAAAGACCATTCGATTTTGTGCAAACTTTGCAAATCTAAATATTTTTGACAGTACTAGGTCCGGTACGAAAGTGGACATTATCGGCCCACTCCATCTAGTACCTCCCCCACAAAGGGCCAACATTTGGAATAATTATTATTCTTAAATAATGTGAAGTCTTGTTGTTTTCAAAAATACCAATATTTTTGTTAAAACAAGGAAATATCGGTCCACTCCTTCTGGTACCTCCTCTACAAAGGGTCAACATGTTGACCCGCTATGAGGCTCTCAAAGCGCGAAATGAACATCCGATTTCTTTCAAACATCTCAATACAAGATCCTCCCTCCCCAAAAATGGGTCGACATTTTCAATAACCCAAGCTCTCATAAAATCCGAAATACGCATCCGATTCATTTTAATCCGGTGAATAATAATACCATCAAAATATGGAATGAAAGGAGATACCATTTTATATGGGCTTTGTCAGGCTGTAATATCCTTACTAACCGTTATATGGAGCCCATTTACGGACATAACCTGTCTACTGGCAAAATACCCATGTGCGCAAAATTTTAGCCATCTATTTCAATTCGTTCTAAATATAAGGTGATTACAACAGTAAGACAAAAGACAGGCGGACATCGCTAAATCGACTTAGAATTTTACGCTGATCAAGCTCTATTTCCATTATTTATCAAGATTTGTTTTTCTGATAAATTTTCCTTTATATTTTTCGAGTTTTTCGACGATACTACTGCCTATGACAGAAAATTGTCTTTGCAGGTCCTATATTCTGTATTTGACCAAATTTTTTCAAGTTTCGCATTTGAATATTGTAATGGCTTATGACAAAAGTTGCCTATGCAGGTCCACGTCGTCGTATAGGTCTTAATATAATGGCTACATTCGGTATTCTTAAGATTTTAAGAGAATTTTTTACGGATTTTATTTTTTTTAAAAATGGCCAAATTCGTTCCAAATGTTGGAGGGTAATCCAAGATCGGCCCGGCCGAACTTACAACTTTTTTACTTGTTTTATCTAAATAGAAGACTGGAAGCTCTTTTTCTTTTTCCGAGACTACACTTGACTACTTGAAAAAATTTGGTCAAATACAGAATATAGGACCTGCAAAGACAATTTTCTGTCATAGGCAGTAGTATCGTCGAAAAACTCGAAAAATATAAAGGAAAATTTATCAGAAAAACAAATCTTGATAAATAATGGAAATAGAGCTTGATCAGCGTAAAATTCTAAGTCGATTTAGCGATGTCCGCCTGTCTTTTGTCTTACTGTTGTAATCACCTTATATTTAGAACGAATTGAAATAGATGGCTAAAATTTTGCGCACATGGGTATTTTGCCAGTAGACAGGTTATGTCCGTAAATGGGCTCCATATAACGGTTAGTAAGGATATTACAGCCTGACAAAGCCCATATAAAATGGTATCTCCTTTCATTCCATATTTTGATGGTATTATTATTCACCGGATTAAAATGAATCGGATGCGTATTTCGGATTTTATGAGAGCTTGGGTTATTGAAAATGTCGACCCATTTTTGGGGAGGGAGGATCTTGTATTGAGATGTTTGAAAGAAATCGGATGTTCATTTCGCGCTTTGAGAGCCTCATAGCGGGTCAACATGTTGACCCTTTGTAGAGGAGGTACCAGAAGGAGTGGACCGATATTTCCTTGTTTTAACAAAAATATTGGTATTTTTGAAAACAACAAGACTTCACATTATTTAAGAATAATAATTATTCCAAATGTTGGCCCTTTGTGGGGGAGGTACTAGATGGAGTGGGCCGATAATGTCCACTTTCGTACCGGACCTAGTACTGTCAAAAATATTTAGATTTGCAAAGTTTGCACAAAATCGAATGGTCTTTACTATGAGGTAAATTATTTTCTTTGAAAATGTTGACCTATTGCGGGGGAGGTACCAGAAACCGACCGATTACAGTTTGACAGTAATATTTCGATGTACCAAGTTTGGACCAAATCGGATACTCCCTTCGGCAGTTATCGTGCACACCAGACGGTCAAACAGACAAACGGACGGACCCCCTAGATTGATTCCAAATGACTTGAAAGGGATTTGGCCCAAAGAGACCTAGGTCCTAAAACCGTTATTTCGACAAGGCACGTTTTGGCCGCATCACCAATTTCAATTACCTATGGTCTATCTTGTTTCCTACTGCATGTTATATACACATTTACAAAGTCATAGTTCCCTGTACCACAGGGTTGTGTAGGGTATAAAAATAGATTCGATAGTATCAGAAATTTGTATTTCGATTAAAGAACTCGAATTTGGAGCCTTATAATGATGGTAATATTATTTTGTAAGTCTTATGTAAACCCTAGAAACCAATAGTGACATCATTATCAAATTCCAGAATTTCAGCTCTATTATTTCACCAACTCTACTCCTTCACCCAATACCCAATGTGGTACCATTTAGAACTTTTCTCAGGCTACACATGAATAGCGACCGTAACTTCAAATTTCAGATTTCAAGCACCAAACTGTTTCAAATTTTATACCATTTAGTACAGTTCGCACACATAGTACACATTTCCAAAACTACCTTCATACATCAAACTTACTTTCAAACATTGATTCTCATACCTAATTTAACATATGGTTGAGGGTATAAAAAATGTCGTTGTTTTTATTTGTTCTACTCCTTAAGTATGAAGTTCCGAAAATCATGACATACCTCAGCCCTTGGCCATGTCAGTTCTTATCGATCCTTTACTTTTGGAAAAACTTTTCAAAAATTTCGAAGTCCTTACGCCAAATTGAAATCAAAGTCGTAAATTTTAAAACAAATTCGTACTTATCGCAAGTACGTATTTATACCGACAGGTTTCAATAAAACGCGTTTTTTTTTAGATTTTCAATTCCATTGCTTATACGTCAAATAAATGACGTATCTTCGTACACGTGGAATGAAGATGCCGGTGTAAATTAGAGCATATTTTTAATGGTCCATAAGCCCCTTTTTCTTTCACACCCCTACGGTCTCTGTTTGAGTTTTGATTTAAAGTTCAGTCGATTGCCTTAAGCGTGTGTTAGTATAGATTGCAGAAAGTCCAACGAAATATGTCAGCCTACAGTACACAAGAGGCCTATTCTGAGTGTTCTTGGCTCTCTAAAGTTTCAAAATATTTTAAATAATATGCATTGGTTTCCTCACTGTTTTCTTTTTCTTCAAATATGGTGGCGTGATTTTTAGATATGAAACCCAAGTAATAGTTCAAGTCCTAGGGGCTGGATTTTTGTTCTGTGAAAATATTTTCTTAATAACATTTTTCATTTGACATTTCTTTTCTTTATAAAAGTTTCCAGCTCACCTTTTTATAGAATAAGAATCCAACCCCTGGGACCGGAACTACTACTTGGGCTTCATATCAAAAATAAGATGTAATTATTGAATTTTAGATATTTTGTCAAATTATACAACTTGTCTGAGTTTCATTCTGATTTTGTGCCCGTTCCAGATTGAATTCGAATCTTTAAATTCCAAATTGACGCATATTCATATTCAAATTTCGCAGTCCTTTTCACGAACTTTCTCAATTGGAAATTTTGAAGTATTTGGCTTGTGTTCTTTGATTCGATTCAAAAATTTACGTTCTGGAGAAATTTGACCTTTCCCAATTAATAATTTGACACAATAACAAAATAACCAAATAACTTAAAACTGGATACCGAATAAACAAAAATAAACAAAAATACAACAATTATCCACTCATTCTCCGCGCTTTTTGGTAAACAATAAAGACGGTCATGTGCTGAACCTGATTCGATGGCGAATGAATAATACCGGCCAGCGTTTTATTTGTTGGCTTTTGTGGTCAACTCAATTATCGGCCAAAACGAATATTGATGGGAACGCAAAAAAAGAAACAAACAATAGACGGATAACAACATAAAACGTAAACTGGTTTCAAATACCGCTACAGCAAAACGTTTTCTATTTTGTCATTTCTTCTTCTTCACTTTCATATCGGGAGAAGTGGTTGGTTGGTTGGGTGGCTTGTTTTGTGGTTTGAATTGTTTTTTTACTTTTTCCCAAGTTTTGGGGATTCACAGCACAAATCATGTGAAGCGTTTGTTATTTGTCTGAACGTTTAAAGACACTTTTTTAATGAGATTATATTTCTAACGCTATTTTTGTTTTTGCAAAATTGATTCCCTACGGTGTTTAAGGTAGACATTGTATGCACGGGTGTACACATGTGTACATACATATAATAAATGTGTGATATATGCGTTACTTTGTTTTATATAACGGTATTAGATAAAAATTCACTTTTAATCTAATTTTCTATGTTATATTGTACCTTGTATTTTGGGAGCCTAAAAGTATGCACGTTGTTCGTCAACTACTTATTTGCCCAATATCAATAGGTGGAGCTCGTTATGACACACATATGTATCAAAGGCATAAAACTATAAAGATGGAACAAAATGTATCCACAACAACCCTTAAAAAGTGTCAGCTCTGTTAAATTATAACATATTGCTATGTCACGATATCGTGACATAACATATTTTTTCTACTACCAACGACATCTATTGAAGAAAAGTAACAATGTAATGTCCCATCTTATTATATTATATGTCTTTATATGTATACAACAATACCAACGAAATTTTACTAATTTCCAAAAAAGGCATATAATATAATAAGAATATTTCATGTCATTGTTGCCCTGCTTCAATAGATGGCGTTAGCATCATCATTTTATAATTTAACCGAGCTGACACTTTTATAGGGTTTTTGTTCATTTTTATCGATTCCGAAATGGCGGAAAACCGCGATCAAAAGTAACAGATATGATATATATGGTCTCAAAAATCTAATCAGAGAATTTCCCTGTACATCAAATCGAAAAAAATCAGCAAAAATGTTATAAAATTGTCAGCTCTGTTATATTACAATATGTTATGTCACGATATCGTGACATAGCATTATGTTATAATTTAACAGAGCTGACACTTTTAAGGGTTGTTGTTGATTTTTATCTATTCAATGTACAAGGAAATGCTCTGGAATAGATTTTTGAGCGTATGTCTATCATATCTGATATTTTTTCCTCGTATTTCCGCCATTTTTCGGCGATATCGCAATAACATATTTTTCTAAAATTTCCAATGCATTTCTGTTATGCCGCCTGCCATCTACTACCTAATAGAAAAAGTAAAGCCCATATGCATTTTGTCCAGTCTTTATAGTTTTAGGTCTTTGACCTATCTTATTATATTATATGTCTTTGCATATGTATACAACAATACCATATGCATTTTGTCCAATCTTTATAGTTTTATGTCTTTGATATGTATTTTGTCTAGCCTTTACCATTTTAGGTCTTTGACAATACCACCTAAATTTTACTAATTTCCAAAAAAGACACATAATATAATAAGATGTGACATTTCATTGTTGCTTTACTTTAGTAGATGGTGCTGGGAGAGGACATAGCATTATGTTAGAATTTAACAGAAGTGACACTTTAATAGGGTATATAGGTACCGATTTAATGTACAAACAAGTAAGCAAAGGTTATAGTAGTGCGGACCGACCATGTGATACCCTACAACACTACAATATGTTAGAAGCCCCTATATATCTAAATTCATTTTGAAATTATGTCACGGAGCACTGCCCAGTTATTTCTCTTAGGATTTTGACCAGGGACATTTGCCCAATATTTACGCACTCCGTCGTGATGTTAGTTGTTGTGGCCCATTTTACAGCTAAATATAATTCAATGGTCATCCAAAATGCTAGAGTTCTTCCCTGTCCTTAACTCTCTTCTCAGGCGTGGCTATTAGCTTCAATTGTGTGATTAGTTTTTTTTTATTTTGGTTCATTTGAACAGATAATATTTTGCGATCATCTCCAAAAGCAAGAGGCCCCTCTGAATCTCCAAATTTAGACTCATATATATGATTTGCTTGTCTATATTCGTCAAAAGCCGGAAATTCGCCTTGTGTGTATTTCGGATATCGCCTGTAAGTAATGGTGGTATTTTTTTCACACAAAAGTAGTGTTCCATTTTACCCGCTGACCTCAACTCTAACTTCATGCGAGATTTCGTGTCCTTTGGTTTCTATTTGTGACCTTTAAAAAGGCTGCAAAATCAGGTAGTTGTTGGTCCATTTCAACCCCTAAATATATTGCTTACGTCATTGAAAATAATTGGCCTAAATGGTAGTTTTTTGAAATTGTGAAAAATATGCGTGATTTAACAGATATAGCAAACCGAAGTATTCCATTTTCATACTTCATCTAATACTGATAAAAATAATGGTATGGATAAAATTTGAAGGAAATCGAACATTAATACCCAATTTTACATAAAATCATAAATTTCGCTAAATTACATATATATATATATCAGATTTCTGGTTAAGAGAAATATTTAGATATAGCAAGTTGTAAAAAAGATAAAATATTGAAAATTGTGACTCTTAGTGGGTTAGGTACCAGAAGGGGTTCGCAGATATATATCATCTTCACAACAGATCCTGCGTTAGCAAACATATTTTGGATGTGTGAAATTTGTTTTTCAAAATCTTGAACCCTATGTGGGGAAGGTACAGAAGAAATGTTCCGATACCTACCATTTTTATAACAGATCTTGTGTTGATGGAAATATTGAGATGTAGCAAGTCTGAATGGAATCGCATGTTAATTTCCCTTTTTATGAGCTTAAAGAATACTCAAGATGTTGAACCTTTGTGGATGAGGTACCAGAATAAGTGGACCGATATATCTCATCTTCACACCAGACCTTAGGTTAATAAAGATATTGTGATGTGTGTAATTTGAAGAGAATCGGATGCTTATTTCGGATTTTATAATCGTTTTTGTTATTCAAAACTTTGATCCTTTGTAGGGAAGTTATCAGAAATGGTCCGATATCTACCATCTTTGCAACAGACCTTGTGTTGATAAAAATATTGTGATGAATCAATATTGTGCTAATTTCGTGTTTTTTGAGCTTCATGAATATTCAAAAATTGTGACCCTTTGGGGGGAGTTACCAGAAGGAGTGGACTGATATATTCCAGTTAATAAAATTATTGTGATGTGTGTAATTTATAAGAGTTATAATTATTCAACATGTTGATCGTTTGTGTGGGAAGTACTGGACCTGACCTAGCACTGATGCAAACATTAGGATTTGCAAAATTCGGATTAAACTTTCTCTTTCTGTGCAGCGAATTATTTTTTTTTTAAATGTTGACATTTTCTAGGCGTGGTACCAGAAGGAGTGGACCGATATTGCCCATCTCCGAACTCGATCTAAGTTTGACAATAATATTACCAAGTTTGGATCAAATAGGATACTCCATTCCATAGAATGCACACCAGCCAGACGGACGGACGGACATTGCTAGATTGACTCCAAATGTCCTGAAATGGATTTGGTTCAAAGAGACCTAGGGTTTAAAACCGTAATTTCGATGATAAATACCCTCTCTAGCCATATGGCTGAGGGTATAAAAATATAAAAATATATAAAAATATAGTTTAGGGCCTAGTGTGACTATTGAATTTATTTAGTGTAAAATAAAGTCGCTGTATGTTTGTTACGTTATACCTATATTTGTATGTTGTATTTGTTTGTCTGTTTGTCATTAAATAATAAATTAATTCGTTTAGACAAAAGATCCAATAATCATTATTAACGAAATGTGTTATTAACGATTGACATAAATTAACATATCAAAAGGCAAAATGCATTGGAATTGGTATTTAAAAACAGGGGGACAGGGAAAAAAGAAAGAAAGAGCAAAAAGAAATTGAATAGCCGGGTATTTTTTTGTATCTTTTGTGTAGCTACATGTGTTTGTATAAATTCTGCAAATACAGTCAGATGATTGTCATTTATGATTTATGTTAGTACGATTGTATTGAATAGCATTTCTTGGAATTTTTTAAAAAATTAAACAATGATGTATTTTTTTATTTATTTTACAAATATTTCGTTGTAAGAATATTATGGAGCTTTAATCATGTTGTTTCGGAATATTTAGACTGTGTTCTTCTAGTTCAATGAAGATATCATATTATATTATTTCTAATAATTTAAGATTTGGATTAATTATTTGCCACAACTTGAAATAAATTACTCTTGAAACAAAAGTAATTTTGTTAGTTTTTAATTTTTATTTCCTGAATGTACTAATTGAAACGGTACATCCGAATGAAATGTTCGATTTGATACAAACTTTTCGTAATGTAATATTTTTAAAAAAATATAAATTGATTTTGAAGATAACAAGTAAAAAAGCAGTGATGTTCAGGTAGGCCGAACTTTTTATACCCCCACCATTTGGAAAGTAACCCATGTAAAAATATGTCTGTAAATGCCGAAAATACAGTATTTGAGGGATAGGTGTCACTTCTGTTATTAGGAACATCCAATCCAAATATCAAACAATTATGTGAAAAATTTGGCTACAGTCATCAAAATACCGAATATCGGGAGGATAGTGGCTATCCTGGTTGACTTATACAGAAATAGTTCTTTATAAGCAGAAGAATGTATTAAGGAACCCAAAAATGAATTTTAAGTAATTCCATTAGAAAATGTGTCTGAAATTGTCAAAATAACTAATATCTGGAAGTGATTTTATATTGGGGCTATGAGAAAACGTGGACCTATATACCCAATATTCTGTCACATGAGGTAGAGACCGTTAGAGACTCAAAACACCGAATTTAAAAATATTCCTTAGAAAATGTGGCTAAATCGTCAAAATATCAGGCGGGTGATAGAATCCATTATCAACCCTAAATACCGAATTTAAGCTCTAGCGGACAGCTCAAATCATTAAAATGTCGAATATGGGAAGGTACAATTATATGGAGTCTATAGGGAAAGACCTATATCCACAATATTTTGCCACAGGAGGTAGAAAATATTATGAACTCTAAATATTGAATTTTATACTATTCCGTTGCAGAGTGTAGCTAAAATAGTCAAAATATCGAATATCGGGAAGTACCTCTATATGGGTGCTATCGGGAATGGTTGACCGATATGGCTTATCTTCGAACTTGACCTAACTGCAGACAAAATGCAACGGAATGACCTAGAATTCTGAATTTGGAAGTATAGTCACTGATGAAGGGCAGGGAAGATGTACCAGTGGTTTTATGGAAATTCGAAGTTTAATGTTACTCAAAAGCTTCAAAATAATACTATTTGGTATTATGTGAACGGATAGAGCCAAAAAATTAAATGTTTGGTATGAGTATCAATGTTGAAAGAAACGTTCGATATATGAAGGTAGTTTGAAGGTGGCCTGAAATCTGAAATTTGGTATTAGGTACTGTAAAAGTGCACTAAAATTTTACAATTAGTACTGAATGGTACTATATTGGGTGAAGGAATGGAGATACAATCCTGAAATTTGATATTTTGATTACTGATCCCAGGAAGCATTTGGAAGTGCGTAACTCACTCCCTTTTTAACATGCCACTTCTGCGACGCTTTTAAACATAATAAATGCGATAGTATGTACATTTACAATAACAAAACTACTGTTGTCTACTTTCTATCGTCACGGCGTTACTACGTAGTGGCGCCAAGGAATATAAGATAAGGTGACATGTGTGCAGACACTTTCTTGTGACTTCCACCAGTAAAAACAGCGATAGTTTGCAGTTAGTTACGGATTGAACATAAATAAGATATTCTATCTGAGCCAGCTTTGCTCTCTGGACACCCAGGATCGATTCCCAAGACAGACATTACATTTTCCAAACGAAACAAAAGATAAAGTGTGAGTATTTCAGCTAATAAGTAAAAGTTCTATGCAAGAGTACATTGGAAAAAGTACCAATAACAATAAAAAAACAAGTAAGCAAAGGCTACAGTCGAGCGGGGCCGACCGTTGAATACCCTACAACACTATAATAAACGATACAGTTTATATACTCGAAAGGATTCCACAAGATATTGTGACAAATAATAAAATAAAACCACCAAGTTTCGTTCTCTAATTTTCGAATAATAACAACTTAAACTAATTTGCTCATTTCCAATTTATTGGTAGATGTTGCACGTAAATGGTCGTCCTAGATCTGGAACCAATATTTCCCAAAGACCTATAATCTCTCAGAAGTGGTAAAAGATTAACATTTATTATTGGTTTTTGACTGAAACGCATCTATATGAGATACAGACATTTGACTATATTCTTCAACAAAATCAGCGTTAACGAAATAGTCAGAAGTGCACCTTTCCTGTATTTGTGAATTCTCCAAAAAGTCACTGGAATGGACATCGGCCGATAATTACGACCTGCTGACAATTTTGCAGTTTTTTGGTCCATTTCAACCCCTAAATATATGGCGATCATCCCCAAAAAGAGTAGGCTTCTATTCCGATCCTCATCTTATCCCCATGCAAATTTCGTAAGGATCGGGCCATAAATGCGATCTCTATATGATATCCTGATATCCTAACTACTTAGTTTTGTTAGCTGTAGAAATATTACCAAATCTTTAATTTAAAATGAAAATATGCCAAAAATATGACAAAATTGAAAAAATATGAGAAAATTTTACAAAATCAATATTTTCATCTTTAGAGAGATATTTTTATGCGATTTTTTAGACGTATCTTTCTTTCCTGCCAAGAGGCCATTCTGAATTAATGAGAACTGTCGAAATCAGTTCAGCCGTTCTCGACATATAAGAGATCTTTCAAGCATATCTTCTTTGATAGACATATATCTCGCACATATTTTGCTATATATCCGATTTGTTGGATGTTAACATCAATGTAAAGATCAGAAGTAACTTTGACATGGCTTCGTGATTTGGCCAGGATTTAAAATATTCGCGGTTTAATGAAAAATGTTGAATTTTTCAACACAAAAGTTATGGTCTATTTTACCCGCTAAATATTATCCGATGACCACCCAAATTGGTAGGCTTCTTCCCCGCCCTAAACTCTAGCTACATGCGAAATTCCGATCTCTATATGATATCCTGATATCCTAACTACTTAGTTTTGTTAGCTGTAGAAATATTACCAAATCTTTAATTTAAAATGAAAATATGCCAAAAATATGACAAAATTGAAAAAATATGAGAAAATTTTACAAAATCAATATTTTCATCTTTAGAGAGATATTTTTATGCGATTTTTTAGACGTTTCTTTCTTTCCTGCCAAGAGGCCATTCTGAATTAATGAGAACTGTCGAAATCAGTTCAGCCGTTCTCGACATATAAGAGATCTTTCAAGCATATCTTCTTTGATAGACATATATATCGCACATATTTTGCTATATATCCGATTTGTTGGATGTTAACATCAATGTAAAGATCAGAAGTAACTTTGACATGGCTTCGTGATTTGGCCAGGATTTAAAATATTCGCGGTTTAATGAAAAATGTTGAATTTTTCAACACAGAAGTTATGGTCTATTTTACCCGCTAAATATTATCCGATGACCACCCAAATTGGTAGGCTTCTTCCCCGCCCTAAACTCTAGCTACATGCGAAATTCCGCGTCGATTGGTCTATAATTGCGACCTGTATAGCTACTGCAAAATCCGACATTTTTTCAGTATTTGGTCCATTTCAACCCCTAAACATTTGACGATCATCTCTAAAAGAAATAGGGTTCTATTCTGACCCTATCCCCACCTCCATTCTAAATTTCGTGAAGATCGGGCCATAATTGCGACCTGTAGAGTGATTACAAATTAACATGGACAGACGGACAGACGGACGGACGGACGGACATACATAGCTAGATCGACTCAGCTCGGCGAGCTAGGAAGATCCATATATACTTTCCTATATGGGAAACCAATATTTCGAGGTGTTACATAAATTCTGGCCCAATCAAACTTATAATACCCCCAACACATAGTGTTGTAGGGTATAATAATTGCTTAGGTCTGAAGTAAAAACATAAAAAAATTCTCTTCCAATAACTGTCAGAGTGACTTCCACAATTGTTAGAAGTAACGCTTTAAACGCTATGTGGTGGTTAATTTTTTCCCGAAGGATGCTCCTTCCGGGGTGAGAAAGCAATATTAAACGCGATTATTTCTATCGCTTTGTTGAGTATTCTTAGTAATACAGCGGATAGTTTTTGCTTTCTGGGATGTGACCTGTGTTTGAGTTTTGGCAGTAATTTGGAAATGCGTTCATATTCTTTTGGGGTAGGGCTGGAATACTCAAATCTGACATGGATGTCCTTGCCTTTAGCATAGAGAAGGAGCTTCTTTTGTAAGTTCGTACTATAATTATACTAAATGGTGGTAAATTTGAGAATGAAGAAATTACAGAGCTGAATTCCTGAAATTTGATATTAAAGTCAATGATGGTGTCTGAAGCGGAGATATGGATTGTAAGAAAAGAAGTAAATGTTACTAAATTCGTATTGGGTGAAGGGATTAAGCTGAAATCCCGAAAATTAATATGGATATCGATGTTGGTGTCTTGGCTTGAGGGCAAAATGTGGTTTTGGAAATTCATATAATAATTGTACTAGGCTGAAGTCCTCAAATTTGATATTAAGGTCACTGATGGTATCTGAGGTTGAGATATGGAGATTGTTTTGGAAAATACGTACTTTAACTGTACGAAAAGAACTAAATGTTACTAAATTGGTATTGGGTGAGAAGATAGGGCTGGAATCCTGGAACTTAAAATGGATGTCTGTAGTTGAGAGAAGGAGCTCGTTTAGGAAATTGGTACCATAATTTTACTAAAGAGTACTAAATTTGACACAAGGGGAGAATACAGAGCTGAAATCCTGAAATTTGATATTAAGGTCACTTCTAATATCTAAGGTTGAGGTATGGATATTGTTTTGAAAATGCGTACATTAACTATACGAAAAGAACTGAATGTTACTAAATTGGGTGAAGAGATTGAGCTGAAGTCCCGATATGGATGTTGGAGTTTGTATTTGAAAGAAAGAGCTGGTTTTGGAAATTCGAGCTATCAACGTACGAAAAGTGGAAAATTTCAAAAAATCTGGCGTTGGGTAGTGGGATAGAGATGGAATTCAGAAATTTGGTGTCGAGGTCACTGTTAGTATATAGGGAGAGAATGGGGTGGTTTGTGCCATGCGTAGTATAACTGTACGAAAAGTATGGTAATAAGTTTTGAATCGGCTCTTAGAATAGAGCTGGAGTTTTGAAATTCGATGTGGAACCACTATTGCTATATTGTTTTGAGAGAAGGGGTGGATTTTTCGAAAGCGTGCTGTGATTGTTCGAAAATTTATTAAGGTCACTGTTGATTTCTATTAATTAATTGACACCATATTTGTGATTTCAGGGCACCGCTCATAATAACGCTATACACGTACAGAAACAAACGAGAGGCGAATCAAAACACAAGGTCAGCATTTCGCTGATAACTGCTAAATATCTTAGCAATGATACCTGAGATTCTCAATCTTACTTTAGTTAATAAGTTTATTCCCTATTTTTTCTCTCTTGATCTATTTTCTGTGCCTTAAATACAAATGTATCTACCAATCGCTTGGTTATAAGAGATATTTATAAAAAATCTAAGTTTCTAGTTGTAGGGGGCTTGCCACGCTCCCACTTTACCAGATGAGGTCGATGATCCCCAGCAAAACTTGCCATACAATAAAATAACAAAAAGAAAAACAACAAATTTGTTTATACTTTTTTTCAAATTATTGACATCTCCTGTCTAGTACGTCAATTCTTAATGGTTTTGAGTTAGAGAATGTACTTTCAGAGAATCTTACTATAGCATGGCACGAAACTTAATTCCTTTACTAAAAAATAATTTTTAATTGCAGTCATTCATACGAAGTTATTAATGAATGCCGACACACAAAGTTCAAAGATTTATTAATTATTTAATTTAAAACCTAAACGAAATTTAATAAAAAATGTAAGAACAAAGTTTTGACTGTTTGGGGAATATTTCGTAGTTTTTGTCATATTATTTGCCGCCGCAGATCTCTGCAAAGAGTATAAAAGTAAAATTTGACAAGGATTTATTATTAGTTGCAATCCAGAGTTCATCGGGAATCATTTTATAGAGAGAGATCATTTGAAACGCTTTTGAGTTAAAATGAAGTATTTTGTTGTCCTCTTCGTATTGGCTTTCGTTGCCATCGGCCATAGAAACACCCGAAACATTGGCCAGTATAGATGCTGATATAAGCGTTGATGCTGCATTGAACGAGAAATCGGAGTTAACACGTCTTCCTCGTGGTTATGGATTTGGAAGACGCGGTTACGGAGGCTACGGTGGTTATGGTGGTCGTGGTTTTGGAGGCCTTGGTGGTTATGGACGTCCCTTTGGTGGTGGATTTGGTGGGTCGTACTCGAATGCTTATGCCAGTGCCGGTTCCAGTTCGTATGGTTTTGGAAAATAAAAATCATTTTGAAAATAACTTTAAATATAAAACAATAAAAAAATAAAACGAAATTCCAAGGAGACACCCTTTAATACAGTTGGTGTAATTTCTAAAACGAATTAATTTCATTTATTAAAATTAAGTACTTTTGCAATGGGTTAAGGGTTAAAAAGATCCAGTAAAATAGACTTGCAAGTGCCCGCTGACTCAAAATATTTCATTTTAGTACTCATGATGCACTATTTGTTCAAATTTCCAAACAAAACTTCATACATCATACTAAGTTTCCAGCTATATTCAAGTGTTTCTTTTATAGAAAAGGATAATAGAAAAGTCTTTCAAATCTTTCGATTTGAAGTTTGCCGCAAAGTTAGTTAAACCCTTGCACAATGATTCCACATCCAATTTGTCTGTCCAAAACTATTTGAACGTCTTTATACCCTACAACACTATGTGTTGGGGGTATTATAAGTTTGATTGGGCCAAAAATTATGTAACACCACGAAATATTGATTTCCCACATAGGAAAGTATATGGATCTTCCTATCTCGCCGAGCTGAGTTGATCTAGCTATGTATGTCCGTCCGTCCGTCTGTCCGTCTGTCCATGTTAATTTGTAATCACTCTACAGGTCGCAATTATGGTCCGATCTTCACGAAATTTAAAATGGAGGTGGGACTAGGATCAGAATAGAACCCTATTTCTTTTGGTGGTGATCGCATAATAATTTAGTTTAGGGGTTGAAATGGACCAAAAACTGAAAAAATTCCTGATTTTGCACTTGCTCTACAGGTCGCAATTATAGACCAATCGACGCGGAATTTCGCATGTAGCTAGAGTTTTGGGCTGGCAAGAAGCCTACCCATTTGGGTGGTTATCGGATAACATTTAGCGGGTAAAATAGACCATATCATTTTTGTTGAAAAAATTCAAAATTTTTCATTAAACCGCGAATATTTTAAATCCCGGCGAAATCACAAAGCCATGACAAGATTACTTCTTATCTTTACATTGATGTTAACATCCAACAAAACGGATATATAGCAAAATATGTGCGATATATATGTCTATCAAAGAAGATATGCTTGGAAGATCTATTTTATGTCGAGAATGGCTAAACTGATTTCGACAGTTCTCATTAATTCAGAATGGCCTCTTGGCAGAAAAGAAAAAACGCCTAAAAAATCGCATAAAAATATCTCTCTAAAGATGAAAATATTGATTTTGTAACATTTTCTCATATTTTTTCAATTTTGTCATATTTTTTTGGCATTCATTTTGAATTAAAAATTTGGTAATATTTCTACAGCTAACAAAACTAAGTAGTTAGGATATCAGGATATAATATACAGATCGCATTTATGGCCCGATCCCTACGAAATTTTGTATGGGGATAAGATGAGGGTCAGAATAGAAGCCTACTCTTTTTGGAGATGATCGCCATATATTTAGGGGTTGAAATGGACCAAAAAACTGCAAAATTGTCAGCAGGTCGTAATTATCGCCCGATCCTTAGGCACATTTGAATGGGGTTACCGGACATTGCAAAAGCCAAGCAGTTTTGGATGGCCATCCAAAAATATTCAATGTGCGAAATAGTTTGCCAACTTTTGTAGACAAAATACGAAAATGTCCATTCCAGTGACTTTTTGGAGAATTCACAAATACAGGAAAGACGCACTTCTGGCTATTTCGATAACGCTGATTTCGTTGAAGAATATAGTCAAATGTCTGTATCTCATATAGATGCATTTCAGTCAAAAACCAGTAGTAAATGTTAATCTTTTGCCACTTCTGAGAGATTATAGGTCTTTGGGAAATATTGGTTCCAGATCTAGGAAGACCATTTAAGTGCAACATCTACCAATAAATTGGAAATGAGCAAATTCGTTTAAGTTGCTATTATTCGAAATTTAGAGAACGAAACCTGATAGTTTTCTTTTATTATTTGTCACAATATCTTGTGGAATTCTTTCGAGTATCTCGCCTATATAAACTGTATCGTTTATTGTAGTGTTGTAGGGTATTCAACGGTCGGCCCCGCTCGACTGTAGCCTTTGCTTACTTGTTTTTTTTTTTTAAATTTTTATTGAATGAAAGCAAAAAATGTCGGGAATAGCATCAAATTTTGAAATAAATTTAAACCGTCACACGCTGCCCAAATGTTGCTATGCGGTATTTTGGCCCATTCCCGGCAAATCGCTTGCTTGAGAGATCGACACTTTGGTATGTTTTAGTGCAAACCTTGCTTTCCAAAATATTCCAGACACAATAGTTCAACGGATTTTTATCCGGAGATTTTGGTGGTCATTGTGCACTGGAAATGAAGCGAGGAACCTCATTTTGTAACCATTCTTGGGTGGCGCTTGCTGAGTGCGATGGTGCTGAATCCTGTTGGAATTTCCAAGGTCTCCAAGGTCAACCTCCGGAGAGCTACCATCGGCTGTTATGGCGGCCCACACCATCACCATGACCGGCGCTCGAGTTCTGGTGGCCAACAGAAGGTGCACATTTTCAGCTGACCGCTTTGGCAAATAAACACGATCATTTTGTTTTTCTAAAAACTGCTGAACCCAATTCGGCAGTTCACCACTTTCGGCCAAGCGAAGCAACTCTAGCTCTTATGAGAATATTTTATTTCTGTTGCGGTGTAAGTTCTTGCACTTTTTGAAATTTCAACGGCTTATTTTTCAATATTTTCGACCACTGCAATGCAGGTTTCTGATAGGAATAGTTAGATATTTTCTCTCAACAAAGGATTTGAATAAAAAATAAAAATAGTCCAAATCTGGAACGTTGTAATATTTATATTAGACCTGGGTCGGATACGAAATCGAAAATATTGGCCGATTTCTTCGGTACCATTTTATTTCAATAAACGGATATTGGCGGAGGACATACATCCGTCAGCAGAACCGACTGATACTTTTTGTCTTGTTTTTCTTTTAAATGAGCTTAAAAACGACTAGACAGGAACTTATCCGAGCAATAGACAGGAAAAAATCGAACTCCCAAAAGGAATATCATTTAAATAAATGTGGGGTCTAAAAGCGCCGTTTCGCACCAGCATAGTTATGACCATATAAAGTGGCATGTATATTCTGCAGCCACAAGGCTGAGTGCATAATGGCTAGACCGACTTAAACTTAAAAATAAATCTTCTAATTCCTGCAAAAACTGCTAAAATTTAAGGCAATAACCAAAGACTATTTTTCGAAATTTCAGTGACCCAAATAAACATATTTGGAAGGTAAAATTTTAATCTCGTTTTTAACAACAACAGCAACAAGTGTCTATTTCACACTTTGAAATAAATATTGGGTACCTGTTTTCAATGTCATTAAGCTTTTTGCTGAATTTTTGAATGCATTAAAAAGCTTTGCTGTTTTTGTTGTTGTCTTTACTAAGAACAACCAAATTAAAAAGTTCTTGTTTCATAGACAAAACAAAAAGTTAACACAACATTTAGTTCGGCAGTGGAGAATGCTTAACACCCTCCATGCAAAGAGGAAAATAAAACCTTTGATACATAAACAAATCGTGAGACTTGTTAACATTTGGCATACTGTCTGGTAGCAATTAATGAAAAACATTTTCACATTCTATGTTAACCCTACCTTTACAAAAGATTGGACAATATTTATTGTGCAATAATTGTCAAATTATCACAATTTGTTTTTATGACGTGGACATCCCGAAAGTGAAAAAAAAAAACAATTATAATATCGTTGAATAAAAGGTGGACCAAAGGTGTCCTAATAAAGCATTTGCCGAATTCGTGTAGCTGCGCATCTTTAACAACAAATAAATATATGTGGAAGTAAAAGACATCTGAAATTCATAACAATTTGTAGAGTTTAAAAATATAGCAAAACAAGTAAGCAAAGGCTATAGCCGTGCGGGGCCGATCATGTATCACATCATGTATACCTACAACACTATGATATGTCTAAATTTATTTTGATATGATGTCATAGAGCCCTACCCATAGCTTCTTGACCGGGGCCATTTTTAGAATATTTACGCTTTCCTTTGTGTTGGTATTCAAAACAATTTCACACGAAAGTTGTTGACCATTTTACAGCCAAATATAATCCAATGGTCATCCAAAACGCTAGACTTCTTCCCTGTAGTTAACTCTCTATTCATGCACAATTCCGTGTCGATTGGTTTCAATTGTGTGCTCAGGAAAATTTTTCTGTGCCCATATATTGCGGACATCTTTAAAAACAATAGGCCTTGCCCTTCTGAGCCTAGGCCTACCCGTATGAAAATTTTCGTTAGGATCGGAAGATAATTGCAATCTGCATATAATAACCCCAACCTGTGTTGTAAGTTGACAAAAATATTACAAAATGTACACATTAATATTACAAGTCAAATTGAAACAAGTAAGCAAAGGCTGCAGTCGAGCGGGGCCGACCGTTGAATACCCTACAACACTATAATAAACGATACAGTTTATATAGGCGAGATACTCGAAAGAATTCCGCAAGATATTGTGACAAATAATAAAAGAAAACCATCCGGTTTCGTTCTCTAATTTTCGAATAATAGCAACTTAAACGAATTTGCTCATTTCCAATTTATTGGTAGATGTTTATTGGTAGATGTTGCAAAGACCTATAATCTCTCAGAAGTGGCAAAAGATTAACATTTACTACTGGTTTTTGACTGAAATGCATCTATATGAGATACAGACATTTGACTATATTCTTCAACGAAATCAGCGTTAACGAAATAGTCAGAAGTGCGCCTTTCCTGTATTTGTGAATTCTCCAAAAAGTCACTGGAATGGACATTTTCGTATTTTGTCTACAAAAGTTGGCAAACTATTTCACATATTGAATATTTTTGGATGGCCATCAAAACTATTTGGCTTTTGCAATGTCCGGTAACCCCCATTCAAATGCGCGTGAGGATCGGGCAATAATTACGACCTGCAGACAAAATATGCCAAAAATATGACAAAATTGAAAAAATATGAGAAAATGTTACAAAATCAATATTTTCATCTT